GTTCCTTAATGTGTTGCGTAAGAAAGCAATCGTCAATTAATTCTAGAAAATCTTCTGCTTCACTATTCCCTGTTTTGTTCAACCAGTTTATTCCGCTAAAATTAAAGTCACCCATGACATAAATACTGTTAGATCTAGATGCTCTAGATATTTCATCCCATAGATGCTTTGCTTCCATTCTGTCTAAATTTGGTGGCCTATATATTACTCCTATTATAATATTATTAGCTTTTTCGTTTAATTCAATCCAAATAGTTTCTGTGTGTGGCTCTGTTTTGATTCCCTCTTTGAGACTACATTTCAAATTGTCCCTAACATATATGGCTACTCCACCTCCTCGTCTAATATATCTATCTGTGTGAAATAGTTTAAATCCATATATTTGATATTCAGCTAATAGTTCTCTATTTTCTACATTCATCCACGTTTCGGTAAGTGCAATAATATCTATTTTTTCTGTGCAGACAAGAGCATTTAATTCGTTAATTTTATTTCTTAGACTTCTACTGTTAGTGTAATATACCCTAAGTGAATTGTTATTTTGCGGACCTTCTCTTTCCCTGATCGTTTTGCCAATTCCTTTCTCCCACAAACACATACTTTTATTACCTCCTTCCTCCAAATCAATTCCCATACCTCTATCTACTAACAGTTTAAACCCAAACAAACACCTCTAACCACTTCTTCTAACGAGTTCGCAACAGCAACAACCCCAGCTCTCGATAGATGCACCCCATCACGAGCATACATTTCATTTCTTCCATAGAAGTGTTCCCAGTTGTCTATGAAAGATATTGCATTTGATTTGCAATATCTTTCCAGCCGGCAATTGACACCAAGTGCCCTCGATATCCATTCATTTCCCACTCCCTTTCTTGGAAGAATGCCACATATGATCGGGATTCCTCCCTTGCTCCTAACTAACTCTATGGCTGTTTTATACCTCTGAATCAGTTCATAAGAACATAAGAACATAAGAACAAAGGTATTGCAGAAGGCCTATTGGCCCATACGAGGCAGCTCCTATTCTATAACCACCCAATCCCACTCATATACTTGTCCAACCCGTGCTTGAAACAATCGAGGGACCCCACCTCCACAGTGTTACGCGGCAATTGGTTCCACAAATCAACAACCCTGTTACTGAACCAGTATTTACCCAAGTCTTTCTTAAATCTAAACTTATCCAATTTATATCCATTGTTTCGTGTTCTGTCCTGTGTTGATACTTTTAATACCCTATTAATATCCCCCCGGTTATGTCCATTCATCCACTTGTAAACCTCTATCATGTCACCCCTAACTCTTCGCCTTTCCAGTGAATGCAACTTAAGCTTTGTTAATCTTTCTTCATATGAAAGATTTCTAATTTGGGGAATTAACTTAGTCATCGTACGCTGGACACGTTCAAGTGAATTTATATCCATTCTATAATATGGCGACCAAAACTGAACTGCATAATCTAAATGGGGCCTAACTAGAGCAAGATATAGCTTGAGAACCACACCAGGTGTCTTGTTACTAACGCTGCGATTAATAAATCCAAGTGTCCGATTTGCCTTATTACGAACATTTATGCATTGATCCTTTTGTTTTAAATTCTTACTAATCATAACTCCCAGATCCCTTTCGCAATCCGACTTCGCAATCACAACACCATCTAGCTCGTATCTTGTAACTCTATCATCATTACCTAACCTCAGAACTTTACATTTATCAGCATTAAACTGCATCTGCCAATCCTTTGACCATTTTAAAACCCTATCTAGATCAACTTGAAGTGATAGTGAGTCCTCCTCCGAATTAATTTCCCTACCGATTTTCGTATCATCGGCAAATTTGCAAATGTTGCTACTCAAACCTGAATCTAAATCATTTATATATATTATAAACAACAGAGGTCCCAGGACAGAGCCTTGAGGCACTCCACTTACAACATTTTCCCACTCTGACTTGATTCCATTTATACTAACTCTCTGTTTCCTTTGGTATAGCCATGCCCTAATCCAGCTTAATATAGCACCCCCAATACCATGAGACTCTATTTTTTTAATCAGTCTTTCATGTGGCACTGTATCAAAAGCTTTGCTAAAGTCAAGGTATACAACATCGCAATCCTTACCACTAGTTCCTCACTCCTAACTCGACCAACATCATTTCCTCCCACGCTAATGCAAATAATGGGATTGTTCCCATTACCAGCCATAATATCATTCATGTTGTTTATAATATCACCAATGCCAGCTCCGGGATAGCAAACCCTTAACCTGTTCCCCCTATCTCTAGCACAAAACGTTCTATCCAAATACCTTATCTGGGAATCTCCCACAACTAATGTTTGCTTAGGTACTTCCTTTACTTTCTGAGGGGCCTGCGCTTCCTTTCTCTTCGTTGCTTTCCCTTTTGCGCGATCCACAGTCTCTCCACAGCACTCGTCCTCCAAAACGTCAAATGAATTAGAAGTTGCTATGGCGTTTGAAGGCGGCTTTATCAAAGTCTTCTTAAGGCCCCTGTCTTTCACAACTCTCCAAGACGAGGTCCCTTTACTGCTGGTCTCCTCCTTCGTTACTTCTCGTTGTTCTTTAAGCTGACGCACCTCCTCCCGCAGAAAGTCCAACTCTGTCCTCAGGGCTCCCACTAGAGTCACCAGGTCCTTAACTACAACTTCCATATTGCAATGATAATATAACAACATTTATCAGCATTAAACTGCATCTGCTAATCTTCTGACCATTTCAAAACCCTATTTAGAAGACATAGTGAGTCTTCTTCCGTGTTAACTTCCCTACCAATTTTTGTATCATCTGCAAATTTGCAAATGTTGCTATTCAAACCTGAATCTAAATCATTTATATATATTATAAACAACAGAGGACCCAGGACAGAGCCCTGAGGTACTCAACTAACAACATTATCCCACTCTGACTAAACCCCATTTATACTAACTCTGTTTCCTTTGGAATAGCCATGCCCTAATCCAACTTAATATAGCACCCCAATACCATGAGCCTTTATTTTTTTAATCAGTCTTTCATGTGGCACTGTATCAAAAGCTTTGCTAAAGTCAAGGTAAACAACATCACAATCCTTACCACTATCAACTGCCTCAACTGCTGGAATAAAAAGACAGCAAATTTGTTAAACATGAACTGTCATTTGTAAAACCATGTTGCGACTCATTTATTAATCTATGTTTTTCAAGATGAAGACCAATTGTTTTTGCAATTATCGATTCAAGTAACTTTCCCACAATAGACGTTAGGCTAATTGGCCGATAGTTTGACGCAAGTGATCTATCTCCTTTCTTAAAAATTGGTATCACATTAGCTACCTTCCATGACTCTGGCACTCTACCTAACTCAATTGATTTATTAAATATGGTTGACAGTGGCTCGGAAAGCTCCTCTTTGCATTCTTTAAGCACCCTGGCAAACACTTCATCCGGCCCTGGGGATTTTTTTGGTTTTAGTTTTACTATTTGTTTAATTACGTCCTCCATGGTAACTGCTAAACTATTCAACCTGTCCTCGTCCCCACCCATATATACTTGTTCGGCTGAAGGCATATTGTTAAGTTCCTCTTTAGTAAATACAGATATAAAATATTTATTAAAAATACTTCTCATCTCCTCGTCATTTTCCGTTATTTGACCTGTTTCAGTTTTTAATAGACTTATCCTTTCCCTAGTCTTAGTTCGATATAACTGAAAAAACCTTTAGGATTTGTCTTCGCTTGCCCTGCTACGCGAACTTCATGTTTTCTTTTTGTTTTCCTTATCTCTTTTTTTAACATTTCTAACCAGTTGTACGAATTCCTGTTATAAACTAACATCCCAATTCTTAATCCTTTTGTACCATGCTCTCTTTTTACCTATAACGTTCTACAGATCATTTGTTATCCACTTTGGATCATTAGTATTCGATCTATTCAATTTATATGGTATACTACTTTCCTGGGCTTTGCTTAGAATATTTTTAAATAGGTTATATTTTTAATCCACATCGAAATCCCCTTTTACGTCACCTGTCGCTGGGTTCACGTCTAGCCCACACCCCCATCCCCAAGTAGGGGATGTAGTAGAAGTAGGATCCCTTGATTATTTCAAGTGTTGGTTGGACATATATATGAATGGGATTGGGTGGATATAAATAGGAGCTGTCTCGTTTGAGCCAATAGGCCTTCTGCAGTTATCATCTTATGATCTTAGGTTTTTTATGACATGACATTCTTTAACTATTGGGTTTATTATCTCTAAGCAGTACTTGTAACCAAGTCTGTGTTTGGCTAATGCAATGTCTCTGCAAATCTTTTTGCCAGTCTTGCACCCAGTGGCTCGTTCGTACACATAAGAAAGGTAACTGCAGAAGGCCTATTGGCCCATACGAGGCAGCTCCTATTTATATCCACCAAATCCAATTCATATATATGTCCAACCCTCGCTTGAAACAATCGAAGGATCCCACCTCCACCACGTTACGCGGTAATTGGTTCCACAAATCAACAACCCTGTTACACATCGCAGTGGATCTTACTTTTGTTACTTTGGCTCTGTGGCGACTTTTGATAGTTGGGAGCATTTTCCTTTTGATTTACTCCTTAGTCTGTGAAAAACTCGGAGATATGTTATCCTGTTCAACAGGTAGAGCAGTGGTAGTTTTTGCTAGTGAGTCTGCCTATTCATTACCATCTACGCCAATGTGACTTGATATACTATTTAGGGTGATTGATAGCCCTAGATTGTATGCTTCTTTTCCTACATGTAGGACGTCTGTGACTGACTGTCGTCTGGAAAGTTGTAGGATCTCCAGTATGAGTGAGGTGGGTCGGCGAAGTTGTAGTCCTCCGCGCTACATATACAACCCTCTCCCGACGCAACGCAACTTATACAGTACTCTTCATGTGCTAAGTATACAACTCTCTCCCGGCGCTATATATACAACACTTCTCATGTAAAACTTCCTAGTGTATTATCTACGTCAGCCGTGATCGTGACAGAGAAAATGACGCAATATTTACCCCAAAATTTATTGGCGCTGTTTGCGCCAAGAGACCCAATCCCATATCTTCCACCAATTGAAAAATTAACATGGGAGAAAAGGACAGATGGTTACTCGGGTTTGGGCAATTTAATACAAAAATTTGAGGATCCGAAAGACACCCCACCTCCAACAATAATAGAAACTCGTAAGGACAGATTGGACCGCATGCGTAAGGAAAAGGCGGAACAAATCCAGTACAAATTAGAACAAGACATTGCTCTATGGGACCCTCACAATAATGAATCTGCAACTGGAGACCCTTGCAAGACACTCTTTGTTTCCCGCATTAATTATGATACAACGGAGTCTAAGCTAAGAAGAAATTTTGAAATCTATGGACCCATTAAGAAGATTGTTATGGTTTACAACATTAAGACAGGAAAGCCTCGGGGATACGCATTTATCGAATATGAACACGAGCGAGGCATGCACTCGGCTCGCAAACATGCTGATGGAAAGAAGATTGACAATCGTCGAGTTTTGGTCGACGTAGAGCGTGCTCGCACAACCAAGGGCTGGTTGTCTCGAAGATTAGGTGGAGGTCTGGGAAGCACGCGTCGTGGCAGACCAGATGTAAATGAAAACCCTGGTCGTGAAGATTATCTTAGACGTGTTGGTAGTGCAAGGGATGCAGATCGTATGACGAGTAATAATCGAGAACGAGTTGATAGGGATCGTGACCCTGAAAGTAGGCACACCCACAGTCGAGAACGAGAACCAAGGGATAGACGCAGGAGGTCACGCAGCAGAGATCGGAAGCGTCAAAGATCTCGTTCTCGTGAACGTGATGCAACAGAACCAGAGGAAGGTGATAATGGAGAGAAGAGACATCGTAGATCACGCTCCTGTGACCGCAATAGACGATCAAAGTCACGTGAGGGGAAACATGGCAGGGAACGGGACCGAGAAAGACGTGAGCGTATTCCAAGGGAAGAAGAAGAAGAGAATATAAAAAAAACTGGCAGAGAACGCAACCGAGAAAAACGTGAAGGTGTTCCAAGAGAAGAGGAGGAGAATATAAAAAAACGTGGTAGAGAACGGGACCGAGAAAGACGTGAGCGTGTGCCAAGAGAAGAAGAGGAGAATATCAAAATCAAGAAGGAGCCAAAGGATGACTATCCTGATTATGAAGGCTCATATCATAATAACTTCCCCATGAAGGATGAGGACAATGGTATTAAATATGAGGAGAAAGAGGCAAATAATGAAATTAATGATTAATATTTGTTTTAATGACAGATCCTCAGTTGTACTATTACACAGTTTGTATTTGTATACAAATATTCATACATCGTGTAGTATGGCTTGTTGTTGGGTATTTTTGTACTTTCTGGAAAATGGAGAGTAATAAATGTTAATGAATAATATTCTGGATATGATAATAAATGCTTTTGAATGATGTATATATTGTGTTAATTGTTGAATAATGTTGACCTGGCCCAGTAATTTGTAGAAGAGTTCTGTTCAAAAGTTCATGATTGAAATCATGATATTTTTTAACGCACTCTGACATAGAATGACCATAATCTGTCTGGCAGGGTTGGTAGTTCTAATGAAGTTCTTGATTAAAAGAAATTAATAAATAACTTGTTCAGGTTCTTAATAAAAAAAACTATATGGAATGATTGCAAGTTCCTAAAAAGCAACCCATCACTAATTTGCTTAATTATTTGATGAGAATGATTGTAAGAACATAAGAACAAAGGAAACTGCAGAAGGCCTGTTGACCCATACGAGGCAGCTCCTATCTATAACCACCCAATCCCACTCATATACTTGTCCAACCCGCGCTTGAAACAATCGAGGGACCCCACCTCCACCACGTTACGCAACAAATCAACAACCGAACCAATGTTACCGAACCAGTATTTACCCAAATCTTTCCTAAATCTAAACTTATCCAATTTATACCAATTGTTTCGTGTTCTGTCTTGTGTTGATACTTTTAATACCCTATTAATATCTCCTATGTTATGTCCATTCATCCACTTGTAAACCTCTATCATGTCCTAACTCTTCGCCTTTCTAGTGAATGCAATTTAAGCTTTATTAATCTTTCTTCATATGAAAGATTTCTAATTTGGGGAATTAACTTAGTCATCCTACGCTGGACACGTTCAAGTGAATTTATATCCATTCTATAGTACGGCTTACGACTACATTCTATTGTAGTCGTTATATATAATAAAATACTAAGCCAACAAGTAAAGTCTTAATTTAAATTCTATAGAAAGTCGACGATTAATGCTGACAAAACAGAAGGTTTTGAGGTTAGGTAATGATAGAGTTACAAGATAAGTTACAAGAGTTATGATTATTAAGAATTTAAAACAAAAAAATCTATATATATAAATACTCGTAATAAACCAAACAAGACACAGGAATTTATTTATCGAAGCGTTATTAAGAGGACACCTGGTGTTGTTCTTCAGCTACATCTTGCTCTGGTTAGGCCCCAATGAGTTCATTCAATCTGAAAGAACTCAGAAGTGCTACAAGGAAAACTAAAAAATACAGCTCCAGGCGAGGACAAAATCACTTACAACATGCTAGCCAAGCTAGGAGAAAAGGGTGAAGAAGCGTTCTTGAATCTCATCAACAGAGTATGGGTGACAAGAACCCGACCACTCTCTTGGAACAGTGCAATTATAGTTCCCATTCCAAAACCTAAAGACCCAGGAAATCCAAGACCCATCTCATTAACAAGCTGTCTGACCAAAACTGCAGAAAGAATGGCCCTTAATCGAATTGAATGGAAAGCCAATCCACTACACCAAAATATGTTTGCTTACAGAAAAGGTGTTGGAACCACAGAATGCCTTACCTCCCTCCTGGATAAAATCAATGACAAACCTGGAATCCTTATTTTTCTAGACCTTGAAAAAGCCTTCGAGTTAGCCAGTGCTCCAGCTACACTGTGCTGCCTTGTGGATAAGGAAATCAAAGGACACGCTCTTGCTTTTGCCAAAGGAAGCCTGCTTAACCGAGAAGCTAAAGTCAAATTCCAAGGAAAAACATCGACCTCAAAGAGGCTGGAAAATGGAACTCCGCAGGGAGGAATACTAAGCCCCTTCCTCTTCAACTGTCTCATGGAACAATTCATGAAGCTCAAGCTACCAAAAGCCAAACTTCTTAACTATGCAGAAGACTTTGTGGTCATCATCAATGGCAAAGGTGCAAGGAATCATGCACAAAAATGCCTAGATATTATCAGCAAGGAAGCGGAACGCATAGCAGTGAAAATAAAGAGCAATAAAACAAAAGCAATGGCCGTTAAAATGAGAACTCATGACATCAGACTGGCAATACAAGGACAAGAAATTGAGTGGGTTACCTCTTTTCAATACCTAGGAGTCATAATAGACAACCAGTTGAAATTCACTCAAGAAATGTAATATCTTCGGCAACGCTGTAAAGCCAGAAACAAAGCTTTGCGCTCTCTGACCAGTCTTAGAGAGGGTGCATCTCTACCAGTACTCAAAATGTACTACGTTCAAGCAGTTAGGTCACTCATCGACTATGCTGCTCCTGCTCTTACATCCCTCAGTGATAACCAATGGGAGAAACTGGAAGTGTCTCAAAATGATGCTCTGCGAACAATGCTGGGAGCACCTATATGGACGCGTAGAGAGAACCTTAGAATAGAAACAAATTTACCAGCATTAGAAAACAGGATGAAACAAAGAATAGCCACCATAATAGGACTGGAACTTACTGTTCCACTTACTGGAACAACCGCCAGGCTGTCAATCAAAGATAGCATACAGAGTTCCTTTCAGAAAAACCTACAGTATAGAACAAGCTCATGGATGGATCATGTGGTCAAGATTTTAGAGAAAATGGACATACCTGGTTGATGGGGTTCTGGGAGTTCTTCTACTCCCCAAGCCCGGCCCGAGGCCAGGCTCGACTTGTGAGAGTTTGGTCCACCAGGCTGTTGCTTGGAGCGGCCCGCAGGCCCACATACCCACCACAGCCCGGTTGGTCCGGCATTCATTGGAGGAATAAATCTAGTTTCCTCTTGAAAATGTCCACGGTTGTTCCGGCAATATTTCTTATGCTTGCTGGGAGGACGTTGAACAACCGCGGACCTCTGATGTCCACAGTGTTCTCTGATTGTGCCTATGGCACCTCTGCTCTTCATTGGTTCTATTCTACATTTTCTTCCATGTCGTTCACTCCAGTACGTTGTTATTTTACTGTGTAGATTTGGTACTTGGCCCTCCAGTATCTTCCAGGTGTATATTATTTGATTTCTCTTTCGTCTTCTTTCTAATGAAATGGATCATTAAATGAAATGAAATGGACCATTAAAAACAAAGGGGAAGATAGACCATATCAACACTTTCGACAGCCTTCCATGGGAAGAATCGAATCTAAAGATAATCATTGAATGATTACCAGTTAAAAAATCAGCATGTGACCCGCAGAGGCTCAAGGAAGTAATAGAACAACAAATGAAAACTATCTCTAGACCCACAACGACTCACATCTTCACAGACGGATTAGTTGATCAAGAAAAAGGTTCTGCTGGGGCAGCAGTTTACACTACCAACCATGAAGCTTACTGGAGCATGAATAGTGGGTGCTCAACATTGCAAACAGAATTATATGCCCTGAAGGAGGACATAAACTATACAATTGAGAATAATTTACATGATGTCATCATTCATACAGACTCTAAATCTTCGCTCCAGGCATTGTTATCCAGTCAGCACCGAAATAATATACAACTCCTCACAGAAATTCAACATATAGGAAAAAATGCCCATAATCGAGGGCTGTCAATCACCCTAAATTGGGTACCAAGTCACATTGGCATAGATGGTAATGAAAAGGCAGACTCACTAGCAAAAACTGCCACTGCTCTACCTGTTGTACAGGTTCAAATACCTCCAAGTTTCTCACAGATAAAGGAGCAAATCAAGAAGAAAATATTCTCAACTATCAAAAGTCGCCACAGAGCCAAAGAAGCGGAAGGAAGATCCACTGCGATATAAGAACAAAGGTAACTGCAGAAGGCCTATTGGCCCATACGAGGCAGCTCCTATCTATAACCACCCAATGCCACTCATATACTTGTCCAACACGCGCTTGAAACAATCGAGGGACCACACATCCACCATGTTACGCGGCAATTGGTTCCACAAATCAACAACCCTGTTACTGAACCAGTATTTACCCAAGTCTGTCCTAAATGCTGTGTTGAACCTGTTGTTCAACGAGGTGGCAAAGACAAAGTAAAGAGGAGCATTGAAGCGCAGGTCCCACAAACTGCTCGAAAGGAAAAGGGAGAATCGAAGCGAATTTTGGTTGTGGAAGATTCCCAGGTAAGGTTAAAAAACCTCACCTGGGAATCGAATCGACAGAACGTTTTGTGATAGGGGGAACAGATTAAGGGTTTGCTATCCGGGAGCTGGAATTGGTGATATTGTTGGAAATATGAATGATATTATGACGGGAAATGGAAACAAACCCATTATTTGTATTAGTGCAGGGGGTAATGATGTTGGACGAGTTAGGAGTGAGGAACTAATACAGAGATTCAGGACAGCCATTGAATTAGGAGCAAGGGAGGAATCCCGATCATATGTGGCATTCTTCCAAGAAAGGGAGTGGGAAATGAATGGATGTCGAGGGCAATTGGTGTCAATTGCCGGCTGGAAAGATATTGCAAATCAAATGCAATATCTTTCATAGACAACTGGGAACACTTCTATGGAAGAAATGAAATGTATGCTCGTGATGGGGTGCATCTATGCAGCTGGGGTTGTTGCTGTTGCGAACTCGTTGGAAGAAGTGGTTAGAGGTGTTTGTTTGGGTTTAAACTGTTAGTAGACAGAGGTATGGGAATTGATTTGGAGGAAGGAGATAATAAAAGTATGTGTGTGTGGGAGAAAGGAATTGGCAAAATGATCAGGGAAAGAGAAGGGCCCCAAAATAACAATTCACTTAGGGTATATAACAGTAGAAGTCTAAGAAATAAAATTAACGAATTAAATGCTCTTGTCTGCACAGAAAAAAACAGATATTATTGCACTTACCGAAACGTGGATGAATGTAGAAAATAGAGAACTATTAGCTGAATATCAAATAAATGGATTTAAACTATTTCACACAGATAGATATATCAGACGAGGAGGGGGAGTAACTATATATGTTAGGGACAATTTGAAATGCAGTCTCAAAGAGAGAATCAAAACTGAGCCACACACAGAAAC